TTCATGCTCAGAGGAACATACTGTTTTGTCACAAACAGTGCAAAGACATGAAGGAAGTGGATTGAGGAGAGAAATGGCCTGAGCGTAGTGTAGGGAAGGCACAGGTTCTGAATGCAAATGTCAAACCCAGACGTTCATGTCTTTGCTCCTAAATTATCAGCTGTGTGACTTTGAAATAGTCGCCTAGTGGGTCTTTATGAGTTAATACTCCTGTGTGAAATCATGCACATCAGGCACTTAGCACTGTAATTGGTTCATAGCATATGCTCAGTAAAGTTTGCTGTTACTAATATTACAGAACCCACAGACTAAGGTGTAGCTCAGATAATATTCCAGGGCATGTTTTTAGAGCAGAAGCAAAAGCTCCCATCCTTTAATTCAATTCTGCATCCTCCCGCCACCCCCCAAAACTAGTACATAGTAAAGGATTTGTCACAACATGCAGAAATTTCTTAGCAAAAATCAGACATCATCCAGATCTTGAAAGAAGTGGTAAACATCATTCGATGGATGAAGGAGATCATCCCAAGTGAAGAGGTACCATGAGCAATAGTAAAGAACTAAGGACCAGCTGGGTGTCAGATGATCCTAGGAGGCAGATCTGATTAGAGCAAAGGGATCCCAGAGCAATGAATAAAATGAAGTAAATTTGCATCAGTGACTAAAATAGGCAATACCATATTTTGTAATAGAAAAATGATTTAATGAAAAATACATTTGAGTGAGTAAGCTGTATGAAAAGTAAGTATTAAAATGCAATTAAAACAGAACAGTTTCCTAGGGTAGAATTAGCATTGAGTTAGTCCTAGATTTTTACTTTCACATAAATGTCGTAGGCCAAATGTTTCTGTGGGGGGAAAAAAAACCAAAATCAACTCTAAATTGTCTCTAGGTAACTTATCTATGTTGTGATTTGTCTGTTATAAGCACTTAATTATAGATTGTTCCCAAATTAGACCATTAACTGTCACATCTAAATTCCTTTGGCCAGCTGGTATTTATTAAAAAAATGTAAACAAGTTTTAATGTTAACCTCAACAAAAATTAAACTTAATTGAGGCAAATCTACCTCTGTTCCCATCTCAAAATTATTGCAAAGTGTAAAACTGGTTAGAATTTTAAAAATCCACACGCTAGTCGAATATGGTTTTAACAACTTTTCTATTATATAAATTTATTTCAGAACCCACAGCCATTTGGTTACCTATTGCCATAAGGTAACCAACACATGATCTTATAAGTGGGCTGAAAACATACTAAAGACATTCCTAAAAAAATTAGTAAAGAATTATTGCATGAAGAAATGTTATCGTTGCTTTAACTTTGCCATAACACAAACCACAGTCCTCCCACACTAAGGTTTTAGAACTGAAACCAAATAGTGATAGGGAAAGATATCCATGGAGGGTTCATGGTACAAACCAAATGGTTTTGATCCTGCCCTCTTAAACATTCTCTTTCTTCTCCTAAAAAGAGGAATAGAAAAGAAGATCCAAGAGAATAATAAGCCATCCTTTGAAAATCCTCACTCCCCTAGAGAGGAGCAAATCAAGAGCTTGAGGCCAGAATTGAGAGATGTCACTGGCAAATGGGAAAAGCTGTCTGTCTATGGAGGCTTTTCAGGTCAAGCTATTCTGAATTACCAAAGCATGCCAGATTTATGCACAAATCCTCCTAAGGTTTTGACTCAAAGGTATAGGTTTAGGGGAAGGTCATCTGAAAGAAAGTGAGATTTTGTTAAGCCATGATTGCATATTGTTCAATGGGGGGTTAGTGTAATTTTACATTAAATCTTTTAAAATATTTTGCTTTGTTAATATTAACAGTATTCGATAGTGTTCATTAATAGTTTTCTATGGTTTTTTATTTTACCTTTACAATCCCAGTAAGGTGGACTCTTTTATTCTACTTTACAGATGAGAAAACCTGATAAAAGATACTGACAACACTTAAGAATAATGGCTTTGGGGCACCTGGGTGGCTCAGTCGGTTAAGTGTCTGACTCTTGATTTGGGTTCAGGTCACAGTTCTTGGGATCGAGCTGTGCTGACAGCATGGAGCCTGCTTGGGATTCTGTCTTCCTCTGTCTCTGTCCCTCCCCGATTCTTGCTTGCTCTCTCACTTGCACTCTCTAAACAAACAAACAAACAAACAAACAAACAAAAGAAAAAGAATAATAGCTCTGGGAGTCACAAGAGTTTAGAAACCTGACATGGTCACCTACTAGCTATGTGATCATAGGCTAGTTTCTTTATGTTTTTGGGCCTTGATCTCTTCATCTTTTCAATGGGAATAGCAACATATATGTCATATGGTTATAGTAAAGCTTAATGAGTGTATCTATATGAAGTACTTAATGCACTGCCTAGCTAAAAGTAAGCGTGAATAAGAGCTGATCTTCTGTTAATTTCCACTGTTACACACAGCAAATTTTTATGCTTAGATCTAGGAGAATGTAGGTGAGAATGAAGGTCTTAGTGTGGGTTGGATGCTGTGTGTGTGTCCCTGTCCTTCCCTCTCTGTCTGCTCTCTCTCCCTCCCATCCCCCATCCCTTCCACACATTTACACTTGAATTGAGTAATTCACTCCCAGGATTAAGATTATTGGTCTGAAATCATAATTAAGTTAGCTTGGGTCCACCTAGTATTCATGTGCCTTAACTGCAGGTCAGGCACCAAGCTGAAGGTCATTGTCAAGCCTCACAAATCCATACCTTAAAAATGAAAAATAAAAGTTTGACTTATCTGCTGTTGGGTCTTTTATACCACTCCATGCCGATCTTTTGTGCCACACTATAGGTTTGGCACAGAATTTCACTTAAGAGAAAAAAATATAGATACAGATATATAGATATATACTATTTTTTGTCTCATAGCTAAAAATTAGGTATCATGTTAACAAAAGAGACTGCTGCTTTTATCGGAATTGTATAATAGAAGTCTATTATACTAAAATCACTCTTGCTTAAGGTTTGATTCCATTTGAAACTAAAAGTCAGTAACCATTTTTTTTATGATCTTGACACCTATAAGCTATATTCAAGATTTTACATAGAATGTTAAGGATGTGTTAAAGGTTTAGAGGAAGACTATTTATTTTCATATGCGCTTCTTATGTTCTTAAGAAAGAGAATGCAAATCATTTTGTACTTAGAGACAGATGCTCTGAGAAATTTAAAAAAATTAAAACACTGCATAAAGATGTGACATTTCAAAAAGTTTTTTCTCTTCCTCTTGTTTCTATGTAGAACTAGTAAAATACCATTTAGAAGTGTATTTAGAATAGTGACAATTTAGATGTAAGGATTGACATGAATTATAGGAATTTGTTTCACAAACTTTGGCATATTAAAACAAATAATTTTTCGGGGCTCCTGGGTGCCTCAGTCGGTTAAGTGTCCGACTCCTTTGATTTTGGCTCAGGTCCTGATCACACGGTTTGTGAGTTCTAGCCCCACATCGGGCTCTGTACTTACAGTGCAAAACCTGCTTGGGATTCTCTCCCTTTATCTCTGCCCCTCCCCTCCTTGCACTCTTTCTCTCTCTCTGTCTCTGTCTCACAACATAAATAAACTGAAAAAAAAATAAAAAAAACACAACAAATAATTTTTCAAGGTCTAGTCCCTTGTGGCGTCTGGTCTCGTACTCATGCAGCAAGGACAAAGGCACATCTAAATTATCATTGGAGTTTGAGAAGGTTGTTAGGATGGGTGAGAGGTGTATGAAATTTAATTCTTGAAAGTCCATCTATGCTCCTTGAAATATAACCCTTCTGTAAAATAAGAAATAGGATTTTTGGTTCCAGAAGTTCTGAGTCTATCATACTTAAGGTGCAAACTTGAAACAATTTGCATTCATGAGTTTTTCCTTAGTACCTTCAGAACTCCCCTAACAAAAGCACATTTGCCTGTCAAAGAAGTATCATGATCTTTTTGAATTCCTAATACGATTTCACTTAGTTTGGAAGAAAAAAGACTTCGGTTTACAACGAGTAAGACATGGTGATGATGGGGTAGTGGTAGGATATATGTTTGTCTTTTAAATTAATATTTCCATGGGACTTAATGCGTAATTGGCCATTCTTTTTATATCATATCTTTTAATGCTTAAGTGAAGCTGATTTATATAATACATTTTAGATTTAAAGAAAAAAAAATCATGAAAACAAAAGTGAAAACTGCCAACTGATTAGCCAGAATTATTTTTGAACAGCAGGAACCCAGAACACATTCTGTCAAATGAAAAGTTCTATTCCAATTAAATTTCCAATTAACGTGCACCCTGTTGTCTCTTAGATATTGCCCCTGCCTGGACTGATAATTATGGACCACAAGGAAAGAAGATTTCCCTAAATCCTTCTGTTCTCCTTAAGGCAGAGAAACTGGAAATGGTAAATACTTTAAATTTCCCTTTGTCTTCCATAAAACAACAGTGAGAAAGTATTCTTATTCTTTGAGAGGATAAAGAACTAAAGCCATTACTTTCTTGAAGAGTTAACTTATTTGCAATTAAATGAATGGCAGTTTGGGTTTTAATTATTTATGTTTGAGTTGAGCAGCCAACTCAGGAGTACAAAATAGAAATAAAACCTTTGGTAACTAAATTGACACCAAATTAATCAGTTTCCTCCTGTGCAGGAGTAAGACAAATGTGATGTTTTACAATGTAGAATCAAAGGGAACATGGAATAAATTATGACAAAGTGTATGTAAAAGCAGTAAGTGCAAGGAAACAACTCTCCATTATTTAAGCTTTTATTTTTTTTTTTAATTTTTTTTTTTTTCAACATTTATTTATTTTGGGGACAGAGAGAGACAGAGCATGAACAGGGGAGGGGCAGAGAGAGAGAGGGAGACACAGAATCGGAAACAGGCTCCAGGCTCTGAGCCATCAGCCCAGAGCCTGACGCTCTGAGCCATCAGCCCAGAGCCTGACGCGGGGCTCGAACTCACGGAGTGCAAGATCGTGACCTGGCTGAAGTCGGACGCTTAACCGACTGCGCCACCCAGGCGCCCCTATTTAAGCTTTTAAAAAGCAAAGGGAAACTAAATCCTAAACAACAAAATAGTCAGATGCTCACTAAATACAAAGAAGATGGTAGAATGTACTTAGAGGTGCCAGAAAATAGTCCTGGGGAGAGTAAAGTATTGTATGTAAAAGAAACCTAAGGTGATTAAAAAGGAAGAATTAAAAGTAGAAAAGCATTTTAGAGCTTTTCCTGTCAGGTCACCAGGGAGCTTACAGCAAAAATGTGCTGTGTTTTTTGTTTGTTTTTTAATATAAAAGTGGATATAGGGCTGAAGGTCCACAGCCTCTGTTTTCCTGTCAGTTCTTGTGGATAAGGATTTTTTACATTTTAGGAGGAGTTGAAAATGCATAGCTACAATCAATACACATTGCACTTATTCCCATATTCACATCTTTGCATGGTCCTATACCAGTGCCGTTTTCGTAGTCAATTTAAATCTTAACCATTGTTCAAATTGTAACTCAGTTCCAGTCCCTGTGTCTATTACAGTTGTTTGCCTTGTTTTGCACATCTACATCACTTAACATCACATCGTAGTGCTGAATAATCTTATGTGTATTTTGTTTTGACAGTGAGATAAAGTTTCTTCACAGCAGTATCTAGTATACCCACCACTGTTTAAACACTTGGTTTGTGCTCATTAAAACTTTCCCATTATTAAGTACTTAAGATATCTCCCTTAGATTTTCAAACTCCTGGCTCTCTTCTGCTAACGTGTACTCTCTTTTTATTGGTGGCTGGATTATTTGAGGTTTAAAAAATCTATAAATTACTTTTTTTTTTTTTTTTGAATTTTTTTTTTCAACGTTTATTTATTTTTGGGACAGAGAGAGACAGAGCATGAACAGGGGAGGGGCAGAGAGAGAGGGAGACACAGAATCGGAAACAGGCTCCAGGCTCTGAGCCATCAGCCCAGAGCCCGACGCGGGGCTCGAACTCACGGACAGCGAGATCGTGACCTGGCTGAAGTCGGATGCTTAACCGACTGCGCCACCCAGGCGCCCCCCAAAAAAAAAATCTATAAATTACTAAAAAATAAAGTTATTGTTTTTTAATGATGTTGCTTTAATATGCATTTCTGAACATCCAATATTTAATACTAACCATTTCTCTGGGTAAGGAGAAAGTTATCCAGCTAATAACTACTTGGCAGCCTTTGTTCTTTTATTTGATTTAAGCTTTCCTAGTGATGAGGGAGCATAGGGCAAGCTGAGGGCAAAGTACAGGCTAACAGCATCCCCCCCTCTAGGTGGGATGTGTGTGATATTCCTCAGACACTCCTGGCTGCCCAAGAACTGGGGAAAGGAAAGAAAGCAAGTTGTTGACTGATAGAGATCACAGTCATGCAGGATAGGTGTCTGCTTCAGTTTTACGGGTAAATTAGTAAACTGCAAGTAAAAGGCAATCTTATCCATACCTAATCTCCAGAAACCTATAGATTCTGTTTCCTGGAGCCCTAATATCACCCTCATCAAGATGTAAGGGGGTTTAAGTGCTGGCCATGGTGATGTGGGAAACAAAGGCAAATGAAAAATTAAATTCCCTTACTGCCTACAGTCCATTGACAAGTCCTTGAACCAGGCAGAGTGACCTCCCTCTAGGAGCTCAGCTGCCTCAATGATGACACTTTGCTAGGGACAAAAGGGAATCTTGGCTTAACATTAGTCCTAACACCCCATCCTGTAAGTCTACTTTAACATATAAAAATTCCTTTGGTAACCTTCCTTTATCTCAACTCCCCCAAGATATATGCTGGCAATCATACTCCAAGCATATGACTCCCTGATGTACATTTGAAGGGTCTCATGACTAGATTTTACTAAACAGTAATAAATAGCATTTTCCTAACAACAGCTAGCCCCTCAAGGTCCTGGAAACCTTGCTTCCAAAATTCCTTAGAGACTTACACTGTCCCTAACCCCCTCCCAACCTGAGGGTAGACAGTTACCCGTCACAACCCCAGTGCAGCTCTTTCTGCCCATGGGTCCTGTCCCCGTACTTTAATAAAATCACCTTTTTGCACCAAAGACATCTTCAAGAATTCTTTCTTGGCCATCAGCTCCAAACTCCCATCATCACCCCATAACCGCATGACTAGCACATGCTATTTTTTAATCTAATTATCTTAGAGATAAGAAAATCATCTAAATTTATACAGACTCCGAGAAATTTGAGTTGTTTTACTGTTGAATCAGAATTTTTAGGTTTTGGTCCTCCTTTTAGCCTAAACAAATTGTTTTTCTGGAAAAATAAAATGGCAGTTTTACAGTAATGGCAACCCATGTTCTGTGTAAATTCAGCGTTTTTATTCAAAATATATTAGTGACTTTATTTAGTAGAGCATTCTTTGTTTTCAGAGTTTGAAACTGTATCTTACTTAATAAGAATTTTTTTTCCCCAAAATCCAAATTAGCTCCTATCTACCCAAATATTTGCTGAGCTACCTTTCCTTTTTCGTTTAGTTGCCTAATAATATAATAATATCTGTATCATTCCATTTGAAATAGGACCTTCTATTTCAGTTGCTACTTTGCAGACAGATTCAGTAACCGATAAGGCCAATGTGATCAAATATTTAAAATGAAATAAAATTATCTTTTTCCTTTATCTTCTGTAAATATATTACATATAGCATCTAGGAAATTATTATAATAAAATTTCACAAGGAAAAGGTATTGACTGACCATGTGATTATTAAGTAATTAGCCTACTCAGTACAATTTTTATGAAAGACGAGAGGTTAGAATTTGCTGAAGCAAATTACCTGTCAAGACATATACATATGTGGCATTGTCTTCATGAAATCCTCTATGTTTTACTAGTCTACTTAGACGATTTTGTATCAGGATATACTGGAAAGTGATTTCTAATACAGAACTACTTATCTCTTAATTCCTTGCCTGAAAAATGGATTGCCTTTTTGCCTGAGGATGATGTAATTTTACAGATATTTTAAAATAAGTTCACCATAGTTATTTGCAGTGCCATATTTTTTAAGTATTTTTATGAGTACTGTGGGTCTCATTTAATCCTAATGTTAAACCTGTAAGTAGACATGGTAAACACAGCAAATAGGTATACAATTTATTAGTTGGCTTGAAGACAAAGAATTACTGTACTTGTATGCTATCTGTATTTTTGTACCTAAGAAAGATGCTTTGGGATACAGATGCCATTTCGCTGATATTTACATTACCTCTTGCCATTTCTGTAACATTTGAAGAAAGCTGTAGTGAGCAACGGCATACCCAGTGTCTGATTACAGTTAATGAGATGTTCTTTGTATTAGGTTGGGAAGTATGTGATGAATATTGTAAAGAAGTTAATTTTTTTTTAAATTCATCATTCAGACATTAGAGTTAAGGGCATTTATTTGTCCAGTTAACAAATTTGCATTTTTGCCAAAGGTTAAAAGATGACATTCATTATTATTCAAGAAATTTTTGGAACCTATTTTTTGACCAGAAGTAGATTATTTCCTGCTTATATTTATGAGCTTACATCACTGACATGCTGTATTCATCTAGAATAAATTTCTGAAGTTTAGCTCTAGGTCAGTTTCCATTGTAGCTGATTTTATTTTGTAATTATTATTACTTAGTATAAAAATAATCATATACTTTTATTTATTTATTTATTTTTAGAGAAAGAGCACAAGTAGGGGAGAGTGACAGAGAGGCAGAGGGAGGGAGAGAGAATCTTAAGCAGGCTCCATACTCAGTGCAGAGCCCCACAGGGCTCAATCCCATGACCCTGGGATCATGACCTGAGCTGAAATCAAGAGTCGCATGCTCAACCAACTGAGCCACCAGGCACCCCAATAATAATCATATATTGCTTACCTTCTGTGACAGGTGTTTTGTTTGCTTTACTTCTGTAAAGTTGTTTTTATTTCTTTATATGAAAATATCAGTCATACACAGAATGATTATATTGTGCATGTACAGCTTAAAGAATACTAAAACAAACACACCTGTACCCACCACATAGCTAAGAATGAGAATTTTTGACATTGCCTGTGTGTTTCTTCTTGATCATATACACCTCTCTCTCTCTCCCCAAGAGATAACTCTGTTCTAAATTTCAAGCTTATCATTCATATGCTTTTTAAAAGTTGATTTACTAAAACATGATGAGGTCAAAGTGTTTATTTACCTTCATCTGTACTTGAGGTGTTGCCAAAATTTTCACTTCCTTTTCTCTGGTTCCTAAAAAAATGCGTGACTCATAGTAACTGCTCAGAAAGTAATTGTTGGATTGGTGCATTGATTTGTAAAGTATGATTTGTAAAGTCTTATGCAGACGTTCCCATGGCTCCACATACTTAATAGTTTGTGTAATTATAATACATTTTTACTTAT